ACGCAATCAAATGCTTTTGAGAGGTCACAGAATACACCGATATATATAGATATATTATTATTATTATAAATCGATATTTTCATATAAAAGAGTGTTTAGTGCTCAATTATGGAATTTAATGCTGCCAATATGCCAAATATACATCACTAAATTGCTACATTAATTGGATTAAAATATCTGAAAACCACAACATGTAGAGCAATAAAACATTGTGTTTATATATTCATAAACGTTTAATTACCCTATTTTCATCTATACATATAAATAAAATTGGAGTGTCTGTTTGTAATATTGAAATAACTTTTTTACTACATGCATATGAATATAAATACGGTATATACACCAAAATAAGATTTTTTACTATTTTTATTTATCTGTTTGTTCCGGCTAATCTCTGAAATGGCTGGACCAATTTTGACGGGCCTTTTTTTGATGTAGTATACATCAAAAAAAGAACCGTCAAAATTGGTCCATGCTACTATTATTTTAGAAAAATAAAGTTAAATTCGACGCGGACGAAGTCGCGGGAACAGCTAGTCAGTAGTCTAGTAGTAAATATAAGTAGCCTAAGTCACTCCTTACTACATCAGCTAGCTGCCAAAAAAAGTCCCGTCAAAATCGGTCCAGTCATTTCAAAGATTAGCCGGAACAAACAGACACACAGGCCAAATATAAAAAAAAATGTTATTTCGGTGTATACCGTATTTATATTCATATGCATGTAGTAAGAAACGGTTATTTCAATATTACAAACAGACACTCCAATTTTATTTATATGTATCGATGTATAGATATATGTACACTATTGTACAGCGCCTTGACCTATTATATTTAAACACAGAATTTGAACTCAACAAAAATACACTATTGTATATGTATAAGAACTTTGCATCTGGCGCAGAAAGTTGGATTTTTCATCAAAGTTTCAGTTCTAGTGCCACTACAGATCTGGTAATAAGTTTTTCAAAGCACAACAATACTGGAGTTGTTTTACATAACTCCGAATAAGCTGAATCACAACTAAAATTGGAAGAACAAATCCATTTTACGACGGCCTCTATGGTCTAGCGGTTTAGCACGCTTTACTTCCGATAGTCGCGGGTTCGATTCCTCGCACGGTGCAAATATTTGCATTCATAAGTATGATTCTTTGTATCAGTCTGGCTGTTTTCTATATATATATTATGAGTATATTTACAAAAATAAATTACGAAGTATTTCTATGAGTTCTGTCTAGTACCCATAACACAAGCTCTGCTTACCGTGGGACTAGACGGCGCTGTGTTAATTGTCCATGGTTATTTATTTGTTTATTACTAGATGCACCTGCGACTTAGTCCGCATGAAATTTAACTTTATTTTTCTAAAATAAAAGTAGCCTAAATTACTCCTTATTACATCAGCTACCTGCCAATAAAAGTCCCATCAAAATCGGTCCAGGCATTGCCGGAATTTTTAAACCGGATTAACCGGAACAAACAAGCAGACAGACAAAGACTGTAAAAAATGTTATTTTGGTATATGCACCGTATTTATATTCATATGCATGTAGTAAAAAATGGTTATCTCAATATAATATTTATTTTTTATTTAATTACTTTATACACTACTGATTATATATGTCGTTGTTTATAGAACTAATTGTAAACCTTACTCAATCATTTTGTAACGCTCATCTCGTTAAGTAAATTGGATATAATTTCGTTTTACGCGTAGATATCAAAGTGTCAATCGGTTAGATCAACGCAACTGAAACGCGTCGCTACCAAACTTATTTAATTATAAAACGGTTTCAATTCCCAACGTATACAGACTTCATCACTTAATACTATATTTATACCATCCAAATCTTCATGAAAACCTTTCCTCTCTAACGATTGAACGTAATAAAAATAGAACTATTGTATCACATTATAAGAAACTAGAAGTCCCGGCAAACGTTTTGCCTTATAAATTAATAACTAAAATATAGGTAAAAATTTAGGGTAGTATGTATTTTTAAATGACACATAATAAAAAAATTATGTTAGGGGTGACAACCCTTATCACTTATCATCGCAGCCCGGAAGAGGTCCACTGCTGGACATAGGCCTCCCTCATAGATCTCCACGACGATCGGTCTTGCGCTGCTCGCATTCAGCGCCTTCCAGCGATCTTGACTAGATCGTCGGTCCACCTTGCTGGAGGCCTTCCCACGCTGCATCTTCCGATCCGTGGTCGCCACTCTAGGACTTTACTGCCCCAACGGCTATCTGTCCTACGAGCTATGTGCCCTGCCCATTGCCACTTCAGAGTCGCAATTCTTCTGGCTATGTCAGTCAGTCTGGTTCTTCTGCGGATCTCCTCATTTCTGGTTCGATCACGCAGAGTAACTCCAAGCATAGCTCTCTCCATTGCGCTTTGAGTGACTCTGAACTTGTTCATGAGGCCCATAGTTAGCGACCACGTCTCTGTGCCGTAAGTCATCACTGGCAACACACATTGGTCGTAAACCTTCGTCTTGAGACACTGCGGAAATTTGGACGAAAAGTTTGGAAGAAAAGAGTTGGATTCGACGATTGACCTCTTTCTCGAAATTGGACCTATCTAGCTGGATAGATATATTGGTAACTAGCTGTACCTGTGACTTCATCCGCGTGGTTTTGAACTTTATTTTTTCTAAAATAAAAGTTACTCCTAAATTCTAAGTTACTCCTTATTACATCAGGCACCTGTCAAAAAAGTTACATCAAAATCGGTACAGCTATTTCAGAGATTAGCGGGAACAAACAGACAGACAGACAAAATTTGAAAAAATGTTGTTATAAAATATAAATATGCATGTAGTAAAAAAGGGTTATTTCAATATTACAAAGAGACACTCCAATTTTATTTATATGTATAATAAATACATTTCAAATAAAAATATTACTTCACTATAGACTATTATCATTGCCTTACCTTTATTCCTATTATTTGTGGCCGGCGCAGTAAATCATTCTTTTCATTGAAATTTCCGAGGTTTTCTCACGAGACTACAGCATGTGGTTTTTCTAGAAGGGTATATTAAGGTTTCTTAAGGGTCGGCAACGCGCACGTAACACCCCGGTGTTTCAAACATCTACAGCTACGGTGACCGTTTACCATCAGACGGGCCGTATGTTTGTCACCTATGTGGTATAAAAAACTCATTTAACGTTTAACATAAATGTATATATAGGCGCGTCCACGGCATGTACGTCATCATTTCAAACATTTAGTGCTATAGTAATTGATTCTACATGAAATATTCTATTAAAAATAGCTTATAATATTTGTTTCATATGTTAAAATAAAAGTGACTAGTATTTTGCGTGTTTTGTCTTCATATCACGAAAATGTATTGATTTGTACATATCAAGACGACCTCGGTGGTCCAGTGGTTCAGCACACCGCTTTACGTCCGATGGTCACCTGTTCAATTCCTCGCACGGCACAAACATTTGTTGTATTCATGAATATGATTGTTTGTATCGGTCTGTGTATTTTCTATGTATGGATTTACGAAAACAAAATTATCTATGTATTTGTATCAGTTATCTAGTACCCATAACACAAGCTTTAGCTTAATTGGGGTCTAGATGGGGCTGTGTGAATTGTCCTGAGATTATTATTATTATTATTATCATTGCCTTACTTTTATGCCATTATTTGTGTTCGGAGCAGTATATCTTTCTTTTCACTGATCTCTATCTGCCGTCATATCTGAGCATATCTGAGTTCTCCTTATGCTCTCCACTATAGACTCATATGTGATAAATAATTAAATATGACAATGCTTGGTAACATGGTCTGGAAAATGGAATTTTCATTTAAATCCCAGTCTAAAATTTCCATAGCTGCTCTCATGCTGCGTCCGAGCGGAACTCTATTGTTACATGAACGCTGTCCGTCCGTTCGTTGGCTTTTGACTTCCAAATGAAATGAGTTTTCCACTTTGACACTTGTATCACAGGGAACCACAGGAATTAAATAGATATTTGTGCTTTATGTACTTTGATGTAATTTAAATTTAAATTTTAGAATAGTATTTCTATTATATATATATATATATTCATTCATATAAACTTCATATAAGAACTTTTGAATGGTCACAATTTTTTATTCTATAGGAATGAATAAGGAACTTGTGTGTTGCTCTTTTAAATAAATGTTGTTTCAATTAGATTTACATTAACAAGTATTAAACATGCGACAATCAACATAGAAACCGCTACGCACTTGATCTCTGTTCAATCAGATAACATGCCATGAGCCAATACGCCTGAGCAACAGCGCCATGAATTTTAAGTTGGATATTTTCTACAAAAAATATTATTATAATTTATAAATTCTTTATAATTATTATTATTCATTTATTCTTCAATAAGCTTTTTTACAAAGAAAATATTTTATAAGACGTTTGAATCTTTTTTTCTGGCAAACTGAGTACAGACTCTGGCAAGTTGTTGTAAAACCTTATGCAATTTCTATAAAACGAATTACTAACTTTCGACAAATGTCACTTAGGTAAAACTAATTGATGTCACGTAAGCTTTTATTACTGTAATAATGTAATTAACTTTCTTTTTTTCTTTATAAATTGAAAAGCTCTTAATTATTATTCATACTCGTGAACGAGTACTGCTTGTAGGGACTGGTCTGCTCTAATCACTATGACTGATTTCCTCTTATTAATTGTTTAACCAGTTGGTTATATATTCAATATTTTTTCTATTTGAGTATTTAATTGAATTACTGCTAATTGGTGGTTTGTATTCACACACTTAAACTTAAAAATGTAAAGTAATAATAAAATTATTTAAAAGAGCAACACGCAAGTTTCTTGCTCGTTCTTCTTGTGATGAGACAGCTTTCCGAATGAGCGGTAGATTAAAAAAATGTAATGACTATTCAAAAGTGCTTCAATGTAAGTTTATTTGAATAAACGATTTTCTATTCTATTCTATTCTATTCTAATATGCATTATTATTTTTACACAGATCGGCTCCAGTGCCTGCGCTCGAGCTCTCAGCGCTTGTTTCGATTCTCTATTCAACGGAGCTGTTTCGAGATACATGGCCAAAAAAATCGGCACGTTTTTTGGTGAGTAGATAAGTTTATGATTGTTCAATTTTTTACTTTTTACTGTAGTGACAGCATTTTTTTCGTCTACCGTCACTAGATTGTGTAAAATATTAATATAAATAATATATATTAAATACGAAAGTTTAAAAATAACTAAATAAATAAGTATTTATCAATGCCTTCGACTACCGAACTTACTAAAGGATTGTTATCTCGAACAAAGCCAGTAATTAACGTTCATTAAATAAAAACAATAAATTATATTCTGACAAACAAATATGAAGTTTTGGGGACTGGTCAGTTCAGGTTACGAACACACATTAGACTATTTGCTTCGGAAAAAATTTCAATAGCACATGCTTGTAGTCACTCTCACATTAATCCTGCAACGATTTATGTATATTATAGTTGAAAATCTTTAAATTATAATTCAAAAACCATTTATTCATGTAGGACATTTTAGTCGCTTATGAACGTAAAATTTTTTGTATTATATATTTTTCTTTCCATCCAGTTCAGTGTACAATTTGAATTGAGTATAAATGATAAGAAACTCAAATAATTTCTTAATTTTTTTTAAAATCAGTTCTATACAGTGTTTACTTATTGTGGTCACTATATTCTCCCAAATTTAAATTTAAAAATAAATCTGTAAACATTTACATGTACATGTACCATTTTTGAGAAGAATACGAGCTGAGTTTCTTGTCCTCTCATCTCGAATGTACTCCGAACTAAAGATAGATTTGACATATCAGAAGAGTCTATAATAGATCTACATGAACAAATATATTTCTATTGATTTTGAGCAATACTTCTTTATCTAACGATAATTTATTATTTTTCTAAATTTATTCGCTTATTTAGCGAAACCATTATTATAAAATTCAAAAATTCAAAATTTAAAAATCATTTTTCATGTAGGATTTATTTTAGCCGCTTACGAACGTCAAATTTTTACATTCTAATTTCTTTTCCCTACCGTCCAGTTCGGTATATAGATCCAATTGAGAAGAACTGGCAAGAAACTCAATTGAATTACTTTTTTTTTAAAGCCAGTTTATTTACAATGTATATTTATATAGGTGTCTATGTCTAACATTAAATGAAAATTCAGTGCATGAACTACTATTGCCATGCACACTCGTCATTCAAGTAATCGTTTAGTGAGTAATAGGCTTTGCTCAGTAAATATGATTTAACAGATGTTTTGAATTTACTTAATTCCAGATAACTCTTAAATAAATATAGATATCTTTACAAATCTATACATAGTATATTCGTAGATTATCGTATTTATATTATATATATAGTATATTCGTAGACTTCAATAACAGAAACATTATAGCTACTATCAAATTATATTAGTCTAAAGTTTGTCATCGGCAAAGTGATAGTGGTTTAATCTGAGTCAAGCAAACTTGAGTTTCCCTTCTAGTTCGGTATTACAATATTGCTGCTTAAACTGCATTGAATTTGAGCATTCAATTGATCAACTACACAATACAACTTGTAACAATGATCAATGATTGATCAATCTAGCTGTATCTGCATTCAGTGAATTCTGCATGGTGTTCATTTAGGCAGTAATTGACTTAGTATCACTTTATGAAACACATGATTAAGTTCTAATATATGTAGTTAATTTAACACACACGTGCGTTTGATTGATACATATGTATAATTTCTAATTAATTACTAATTAAATTGATCGAATTAGGTATTATTATGCGGAAGTCCATTTCGCTATTTAATTATTTGTATTGTTTTGTTTAAAACTTATCTTAATTCTTACTAATATTACAAATGTGACAGTAGGGATGGTTGTTACGCTTTCACGCAAAAACTACTGAACCGATCATCACGAAATATTATACACATATATAATTAACATAGAATATATTCATTTTAAAAAATAAAATTTTTGATTCAATGCGAGCTAAGCCGCAGGTAAAAGCTAGTAATATTGTATTTCACGCAAAAACTACTATACGAATTTTAATGAAACTTTACAGTAATATAGCTTATACATTAGAATAAGTGTCTATGTCTTGCATTAAATGAAAATCAATTAAATAGGAAATAATCTTTATTCAATTAAACTCATTACAAGCACTTTTGAATAGTCATATTTTTATTCTACCACTCATTCGGAATGCAGATTCATCACAAGAAGAATGAGCAAGAAACTTGTGTGTAGCTCTTTTTAATAGATGTTTCTTTTTATATAAATAATTACAGTATAACAAGTAAGAGGCATGCGATAATCAACATAGAAATCGCTACGCACTCATTATTAGTGTAATCAGATAATATTGTCAGTGCTATGGATTTAAAGTTTTTCTATAAAAACATTATTATCGTTAACCAATTCTTCAATATTATAGTAAGCTTTTTTTCAAAGGAACTGTTTTATTTGACATTTAAATCTTTTTTCTGGCAGATTAATAACAGACTCTGTTATTTTATTGTAAAACCTTACGCAATTGCCATAAAACGAATTACTAACTTTAGCCAAACGACATTTAGGTAAAATCAGTTTGTTATTGTTACGTAAGCTTTTATTGGTGCAATCACTAACTCTTTTGAAACTGTCTATATTCTTCCTGGCATACATTATAATTTAATGAAAACAATATTTGCAAGTACATATATAAAAGTTACTGCTATATTTTTTGAAGATTCATCAGGCGCCACCTTTTTTCTTAGTATTCCTTTTATTGTAGAACCTTCTAATATCTACACATTTATTTTATTTATTTATTTAATTAACACAATATAAACTAATTGCCAACACGTTTATATTTTAAAACTATTATACTTTATTATTTATACTACTTAAACTGTACAATGACAAAAATATTCTTATTTTATTTATAATGGAAGGCATGTGTTTACCTAAGTAAGATGGTGTTTGGGTTCAGTGAATTTCATACGGTTCCGTTAACACATAAGTATATAATTTATTATCTAATATTAACCTAATACAGGTAGTATTAGGTTCATATCTAAAATAATATCAAGATTCATAACGTTTTACAAGGACTTTGGCGTACTTTGACTAAGCGGGTAATTTTTATCGTAGACCCTGTAAAAATCCCTTTTAGTTGAATTTAGATGATCAACCGTTATAAATGAAATTATATTTTTCAAATAAGGTAAATTTTTATATATGTTTGGCGTTCCTTCTGTCTAGATTGGTTTTATTTAACACACTTATTTTGGACAGTAAAATTATAGTGTAATGAGAATTATAGAAAAAACATAGACCGATATAAACAATCATACTCATGAATACAAATGTTTGTGCCGTGCTAAGAATCGAACGCGCTACCATCGAAAGTAAGGTGGTGTGCAAACCACTAGACTACCGATGTCGATAGTAGTAATACAGATTGTATTTAAACTTCCTAATATTATGTAATATTATATTATCTGTGCTAATATTATATACACGGAAGTTTGTGAGTGTGAATGTATGGATGTTTGTTACTCTTTCACAGAAAAACTACTTAACGGATTTTGATGAATTTTCACAAAAATATAGCTTATACATCAAGATCCTTACTAATATCATAAATGCGAAAGTAGCTCTGTCTGTCTGTCTCGCGCCACGTCAGAACTACTGCACCGATTTAAATGAAATTACACAGATAGTCTAGACCCTGAGAAAGGATATAGGCTACTTTTTAATGCCAAAAAAGGGTTGTAAGGGGTTAAAAGGGGGGATGAAAAGTCGTATGGAAATATTCTCATTTTGAAGCTACAGCTTGAAACTTAATTTTGAGGCTGTTGATTAAATACATAATATGACATTCAAAGGTTGTAAAAATGTTAATCTTACACAGGTAGTCTAGAACTTAAGAAAAAATATAGGTTAATATCTTGAGGCTTTTTAATTTGAAAAAGGGTTGTACAGGGGGAAAATGAAGATGCAAGTACTATGACCGCCAAGTGACCAAGGAGACCTCCAACACTGTTCACGTACATAAACGACAGTTGATATTTTAAGCAAATGAGCTACCAACTAGTTCGTCGTTCAAGTTACTTAAGAAATGCTATACTGTATTAATCACCATGTTTGCACAATGCTCATTAATCTTCTCACGGCTGCTTGTTCATTTAGAATATTCATTAGTTTACTTATATCGTCTGTGTATCTTCACGCCAGGTCTCAAGTATAGAAAAAGCATCAAAAACTAAAAATGGAACTCGACGAAATGTTTCCTTGAAAAATGTTTTTAACTTCTTCTAAATATATTTAACTCAAAGGTGACTGACATAGTGATCTATCAATGCACAGCCCTAATCACTGGACAGATCGGGCTGAAATTTGACATGCAAGTAGATGTTATGATTTAGGTATCCGCTAAGAAAGGATTTTGATTAATTCTACCCCAAAGGAGTTAAAATAGGGGATGAAAGTTTGTATGAAATTTTGTCAATTTTAAACCAATCGGGCTGAGACTTTGCATGCATAAAGCTACAATGACGTAGGCTTCCCCAAATACAGGATTTTGATAAATATTACCCCTAAGGTGATAAAATAGGGGATGAAAGTTTGTATAAATGTTCTTAGATTTTCGACTAATTGAACTGAAATTAAAGATTGGAGCTACTATGATGAAGACGTTCGCTTAAATAGGATTTTGATAAAATAAGGGATGATGCAGGTTGTAAATGTATTAATTTGAACCTATCAGTACCTAATGGAACGAATAAATTAAGACGAACAAAACAATTTTTAGTTTTTTAGGCTACTTTTATTTTAGAAAAACAAAGTTAAATATATATATGTCAAATTTCTTTATAAGTAGACGAGACAAACTATCAACCTAATGTAGATACATATACACTAAACATACAACATTTATTATAAAGTACCTGAATTATATTTTCATAGCATTATGTCATACGGTATTTTATTATGGGGCAAAAGAGGGCCATCCGCTCCATTTATGGTATGGGTTCCAGGGAGTCTTTACGTGAATGTACGAAAATATTATGTATGCCAGGAA